CTACTTCTGATCCAGCTCCCCCTTAATGCGCCTGGGAAAGCAGTGGAAGATGGCTCAACTGCTTGGGCTCCAGCCACCCATGTAGGAGACCCAGATGAAGTTCCTGTTCTCTGGCGTCAGCCTGGCCCAGCCCCAGCTCATACAGCCATTTGGGGAGTGAACCAGCGGATGGAAGATTTCTCTGTCTCTCCACCACTCTAACTCTGTCTGTCAAATAAAGTGGAGAAAAAAAAAAAAAAAGACCAAGGTTCTCAGTTCCAGCTTCCTGCTAACACACAGCCTGAGAAGCAGCAAGTGATGGTCCAAGTACTCAGGTCCCTGATACCCACATGGGAGAACCAGCCTGAATTCTAGACTGCCAGCTTTGGCCTGACCCCAACCTGGCTGTTAGAGTGTTTAGGGAGTGAACCAGTGGATGAAAAATCTGTCTGTCTTGGTTTTGCTCTCTCTCTCTCTCTTACCCACACACACACATATAGACACACATACAGACATACACATACACACACAGCCTTTCAAATGAATGAGAAATACAATAAAAATTTTAAAGCCATAACAACACTAGGGCGATTCTGCAGCTACTGTGTGTAATGTGGTTTAATTTTTAAACTCTTTTATGGGGCAATAAAGGAAAATACCACTTACAGGCAGGCTTGTGTCTTCCTGCCAAGAAGGAACTGGAAGGATCAGACTCCAAAACAAACCACAACACCATCCCTTCACCTCTCACCCTAAAACACACCAAAGCCTGACCAGCTCACCCAGCCCTGCTGGGGCGGGGAGAGGCAGGAGGTCCCACTGGAAAAGTCCCACAGGACGTCACTCTGACTCCCTCTCTCTCCAGGGGCAGCATTCCTCAAAGTCAGCACCCAGGACCCTGACTAGCTCCATCTAACCCAGCCATCCCAGTGAGGCTCGGACACAGATCCTCTTGCTTTAAACTAGATGTGCAGCCTTCTCCACCATGCACCTGCTGTCCATGGGCAGTCCGCCCACACCCAAGGGCAGCAGACATCCCCAAAGCCCCCATTCAAGGCATTCAAGGCAGTGGAGGGCAACATCCAGCCCTGGGAGGCCCACAGAGGTGGTAGCCCAGGCAGGCCAGCCGGCAGCCGCGCTGCAGATTCCCTGGGAGCAGCGAGCATGCAGGCATGGAAGATTCTCTCTGTGCCCTCCAGTTTCACTCTTCTAGGAGTTACTCCCTCCCCTCTCCAGAACACCTGGCCAGCACTGAGATGGGCCAGGGACTCAGGAGCAAGGTTGTTTCTGGACACCGGCAAGGCAGGGTCGGCTCCTGAATCCCCATTTGGAACCCAACAGGGTCTCAGGGGCTGAGTGTGGGAGAAGTGAAAAAGGCTGGGCCAGAGAGGGATGCAGTGACTGTTGGGGTGGGGTTGAGGGTAGGGGGTCCCTGGGAGAGAAGTGAAGGAAAAGCAAGCCCTCCCCTTCCTGCAGCAGCCAGCCCACCCCGGGGGAACAGAGGAGGAGGTAACACGCCTCTCTGACGTAGCTTGGGAACAGAGGAGGAGGTAACACGCCTCTCTGACGTAGCTTCACAAGACCAAGACTTTTAAACCAGTCAGGTACAGGAAGGGACTTCAAAAAGCTGGAGGGAAAACCAAACAAAAACTAAAGTGCCGTGGACATTTGGTGCAGCAGTCAAGACGCTGCCTGGGTTTGAGTCCTGGCTCGCCTGCATCTGATCCAGTTTCCTGCTGATGCACACCCTGGGAGGCAGCAGGCGATGGCTCGGGGATGTGGGTCCCTGCCACCTACGTGGGAGGTCCACACTGAGTTGCAGAGTCCTCGCTTCAGACTGGCTGTTGTGGGCATTTGGGGAGTAAATCAGCAAACAGAAGATCCCCCTCTGTCTGTCTGTCTCCCTCCCTCTCTTTCTCTCTTCTCTCTCTCTCTCTCTCTACTTTTCAAATAAAATGAAAATAATTACACAAAAATATTTTAAATAAAAGTTAAAAATCTGAAATTCATGCATCGCTTTCTCAACATACTCATGTCCCATGAATTTCTCAAAAATCCCACATATGCATGGGTCTCAACAATTTTTGCACCCAAAGCAGCTTATCTTTTAATTCTATGTTTCCACAACATTTCTGAAGTCTCCTGTCTACGTGATTCTCCTCAAAGTCAAAGAAGATGGTGAGGGGAGGGAGGGGCGGCCGGCCTTGTGGGTGCTGCTGGGGGAGACCCACCACTGCAGCATCTGAGAAACGGTCCCTCTGGGTGAGCACAAGGAATGCTGAGGGGACCTGACTGATGGCCAGGTTATCGGAGATAAGCTGGGGCCCCCTCTCGCCCATGGCTCAGCCAGCCCCAGTGGGAGGCCAATGTGTGGGTGACTGAGCACCCATGGCTGTAGCCCTACACCATGAGTGTACAGAGAGCCCCCAAGTCACCCCTGCTCTGTGCCTGTGACCACACTCACACACACACCCCTCCCTGGTCGATAACCTAAATACCCTCCTCTGTGCACAAAAACCGGTGCTTACACGGAGCCACAGTGACCCTTCCACACACAGACGCCTATGTACACACACACAGCTCCCTCAGTACTCCTTCCCACCTTCCCTCCCCACCCCCAACATACAGCTTCTGGGGCCTGCGGGCCCCCCTCAGCCAGGGCGTCCTCTTCCTGCATTGCTGCTGCAACGTGGGAGCAGAGTGGGGTGCTGCGGCTGCTCCTGCCTCCCCTCCAGCCCACTGGGCTCCAATTTGAGCCCTGGCTCTGGCTGAGTTTGTTTGTCAGGTTACAGGTCCCTGGAGCCAACGACCAGGGAGCCTGGAGCTCCAAGAGCCACGGGGAGTGGCTACGCCAGCCCTCTGGGGAACTCTTTGGCTCCAAAAGTTGGGTAAGAGAAGCCTTGAGCTCCCTGCCCTCTGCCACGTCAAGCTAGCCCCCAGGAAGAGACTCCAGCTCAGGATTAGCTGGGGGGACGAGGCTGCAGAACAGATGGGAGGATACCTAGCAAAGGCCCTGGACAGGAGCCCCAGCCACCCTGGGAGAGTCCTGGGACAGCCTGCGGCCGTGGCTAAGAACAGGGCTGAGGCTGCTGCCCAGCAGAGGGCACTCCCTGTCCCCAGGGCCACAGGGCACACACTCACCATCCTCGGCGCCTGTCCCAGCCTCTGTCTACTCCGAGTGACAGGGACGGACCTCTTGGCCCACAGAATGGAAAGTCAAAGAAGATGGTGAGGGAAACTCCTCCCCAGCCCATCTGCTCACCAGCCCAGACCTTCTGGGCTCAAGCCTCGAGGTTTTAGCAATTTCAGGATCAGCCTAGCACCCAGACCCAGGGGGAAGGGATGGGTGGCCTGGGGACTGAGGATTCCAGAATCTGGGCTTGTTCAGCCAGTCTGGGCGGTCCCAGCACGCACCTCCCCCTAAGCAGCCAGCCAACGGTCCCGTGGAATAGCCCAAGGTTAGAGACTCAAAATCAAAGAAAGTGGTGCCAGGCGTTGAGCCCAGTGCCCAGAACCCCAGCTCTCTGCCACCCATTAGGCCCCAAACCCATGTTCCGGATCATCTGTGGCCTTGGCCATGGCTCCTGCTCCCTGTGCATTGAGGACCTGCTGTGCTTAGGTGGAAGAGCATGGCTGACCGACCATGGCAGTCTGCAGTTAACCACCACCCTGAGGGCCCAGGCAATCAGCTGGGGCCAGAAAAACATTGCAAAAACCTCAGAAAGCAACCCCAGTGGGGGCTGGGCCCCATCTGAAGGCAGGAGATGCCAGAGGCCTTGTCAATCCTCCTGGCTGCTCCTGATCAGCTGATTCCTCCCGCCTGGGAGTAGCGAGGCAGATCAGGGCCCCAGGACACCATACCCTTCCCGACCCCACCCCAGGACACACCCAGGCCTGGCCAGCTCACCTGGCCTTGCTGGACTGTCAGTCCAGCTGTTCTGGAAGGGGTACATTTTCCTCTTGTTCTATTTGGACAGCTGCAGGGGTCGTGATGATGAGAAGAGAGGCAGATGGCTGGGAGCCTTGGAGGGCAGGCTGGCTGAGCGTGCTGAGAAGGGGCTGCTCCCCCAACCCCGCCCTACTGGGTGCTGCCCCATGGGGTGGCCCAGCAGGCGGGAACAGAAGCCAGAGGGCAAGGGAGGAAAATTACTCCTGATTTTACGTAATTTGCTCAGTCAAAGGTGAGGTCAAGAATAGACTTCAGAGGCCCAGCCCCAAACCCTACACTGCCTCACTCCCAAACAGGTCCCACAACCTTCCCTTTAGTTCCCCCAGGACTGGTGGGGTGGGTCCAGGAGAGGAAGTCAACACCCAGAGGCACGGCCCAGGGCCCTGGAATCATCCCCTTCCCCTCCTGAGAGGCAGGATGTGGAGCTGTGAGCTCAAGACCAACTCTACCCCCTCTCACCCCTCCTCTCAATGGTCTCTCTGGCTCTACCCCCTCTTCTAGCCATCCCATCCTGGTATCTCCCCGTCCCTATCTCCACCCTCCTGCTGCCTGCCTGCCCCCACCCCCGGGTTATGTAAGGGGCCTGAGAACACACAGAGGGAGCTTTGTTGTCAAACCAAATCCATACGGAGCCGATTGGGCCAACGCAGCTGTTCCCCATTCCCTCCGCCTTGGCAGCGCTGGGGCTCTGGGCAGGAAGCCCCTACACGCCTCCATTTTGGGAGTTGGGGGACAAACACTGGCCCCGGGGCCCCAGGCAGCTGAATGGGTGGCCAGGGATCAGTCATCACTGCGTGGGACCATGGCGAGGGACCAGCTGGCCCCTAAGATAGAACAAAGTCACAGCACAAAGCCAGGGTCACAACAGCCACAGAGAGCCAAGCTCCAGGCTAGGGGCAGGGCGGCACAGTGCCAGGCTCCAAGACAGAGAGGGTGCAGCTCACACAAGTGCACCCCATATTTTCCGTCACACACACACCACCCATGTCCTCACTCCCCTGCACACTTACAGGCACGTGCATGAACACACACCATGCATAGCCCAGGCGTGGCGGGCTGTCATGTTGCTCACCTGCAAGGGTTCTGAGCACAAAGTGCCTCTCCACTCTGACCAGCTCCCTCCATGCTAGCAGGCACCTCTGAGGGAAAGAGCTGCAGCTCTGGAACAGGAGGGGGCAGGGGGCAGGTCAGAGGCCAGGGAAGCTCTGTCCAGGAAGAACAAGATCCTGGCTACCCACCCAGGAAGAGGTCTGGGGAAGCAGGTGAGGGCACAAGGAATGATGCTAATGATCAGGGTGTTGTGAAATCTTGGCAGGCACCGTCCCTTCACCAAACCCAACTGCAGAAGGCTGCCGGCATTTGCAGCCCCCTCGGGCTCCTAATGCAGGCTCTGCTGAGCACCCCTGGCAATCCAGGGAGCCTAACCAGCCACCCCTGTGAGGCAGTCTGATTGCTGACACTTGGGGGTGGGCGGGAACAGAGGGACAAGGGGACAGAGAGAAAGAGAAGGCAGAAACAAATCAAGGGGGAAGATCAAAGCAAGTGAGTGAAATCTACAGGGGAAAGACAAGGAAGGCAGAGAAGGTGGAAGAAAAAGAGGAGGAAGGGGACCAAAGAGGGGGCAAGAAGGAGGGGAGGCAGTGAGTCCGAGGATCAGGCCACTGCTGTGCGGAGAGTGTCCCCACTCCATCAGCACACCCCATTCCTCAGTCCCTTGCACCTGACCCTTTCAACGGGACCAGTCTAGTCCATCCAAATGGACATTTGAGGCCAGTCATCTTAGTCCACCCAGTCCTGGCGCTCAGCATGCCCCAGGGGCTCCTGACTTCCAAGTCCCAGATTTGGGGGACTGCAGAAGACAAGATGAATGAGAAATGCAGGCGGGTGGTAGAGCTGGGGGTGCAAACAGAGGGGCAGAGGGAGCCAGGGTCACTTCTGAGGCTCAGCCCAGTGGGGCAAGAGTCCCCTGCCTCTTCCCTGCCTGGAATGAGAGACGCTGTGTGACGCTGTACAAGTCACTTTTCTGAGTTTCTGCTCCCTTGTTTACAGAAAGGAGGACGCATGGAACAGTTCTTGCATGCCAGGGCAGCGGTCCTACCCTCTTATGGAATGAGGATCAGCCAACCTCGGAGGTTCCCTCCCAGCTTGAAAACCATTTATCTCATCCGTGCATCACAGTCCTGTGTAATGTGTATTACACGTAACAGATGTGATGACGGAAAACCAACAAAGTCTGAGGCCTGCCTGAGATCACATGACTCAGGCATGCACAGAGAGGACACAAAGGATGTCCCAGCAGTCCCTGCTGCCTGGCCACCTGCCCTTGGTCCCCTGGGCCAGAAAGTAGCCACTCTTCAGGCTCATAGCTCCACTCTGGAGGCCTGGGAAGTAGACCACTTAGCATTTAAACTGTGAGAGCCCAAGCGCTCAGTTTATCTGGAATGACACCTCATTAAGAGGTGTTAATTTCTCGGAGGGAACAAAGTTAACAGCCTTCCCCCTGCCTCCAGGAACACAATCTCCTGGTCCCACACCAAGGACACCCAGGGGCACTGCCCCACAGTCAGCTGCCTGTGATTCAGCTTGTACCCCACTCAGGGCCACTCTGGACTCATCCTGGGCACAGGGTCCCTTCCATGTCACAGGAGCCAGACCTGTGTGGGTGAACTCTGTGGGGCAGGGGTGTGCAGGGACCGTGCTGGGTGAGCTGGGAAGACTTCTCAAAGCAGAGCCCTGCGCTGATGCTGACATTCACAATGTAAAAAGGTCATTAGCATTGGTGGGTAGCCAAGCCACACAGGGGGCTGTGGGGGTAACGGCAAGGAAGTGGCATGCCACTGGGAAATTTTTGCTACTTGGGAGTTTGCAAAAAAATCTTTTTAAAGCCAAGAAACCCTCTGCCCCAGTTTCAAAAGAAACAGTCAAATGGGAGTCCAATATGTATAAGTGAGCTGTCTGGGTCAAAGCAAATGAGGGTGAAGCCTCCTCATAAAAAGCCCCTGCCCCGAAGTGAGGCTCCTAGGGCAAGGTTGCTTCTCCTGGGCTCTGAATAAGGAGGGGACTGACCTAGGGACAGCCTGTGCAGGGGCCTGGAGCTTAGCGGGAAGAGGTGACAAGCACAGAGATGAGACGGGATGGTGGAATGGGGCATGCCCTCCAGGGATGGTGCTGAGGGGACAGACTTCTAGACATGCCCACCAGGGCACTTGCCTGAGGCCAGGCCCTTCTCTGGCAAACAGTTTACCTGGCAGGAGGGAAGCTCTCCTCCCTTTGTCCCAGGAAAGGAGGAAGCAGAGTAGGGACACAATAAAGACCAAAGCAGAAAATCAGGGGACTGCAAGCCTCCGTCTACAGTGCCAGCATCCCATGTGGGTGCCGGTTTGAGTCCCAGCTGCTCCACTTCCAATCCAGCTCCCTGCTAACAGCCTAAGAAAAGCAGTGGAAGATGGCCCAACTGCTTGGGCCCCTGCACGCATGTGGGAGATCAGGAGGAAGCTCCTGACTCCTGAATTCAGATCAGCCCAGCCCCTGCCATTGCAGCTGCTTGGGAAGTAGACCAGGGGATGGAAGATCTCTCTATGTATCAGTCCCTCTCTGTCTGTAACTCTGCCTCTCAAATAAATATTTTTTTTTTTAAATCTTAAGATCTGGGACGAGTGTTTGGCTCAGCAGTTAGTATGCCAGCGTCCACACTGGACTGCCTGGTTTAATTCCCAGTTCCGGCTCCCAATTTTAGCTTTCTGTTAATGCAGAACCTGGGAAGCAGCAAGCTCAAATGGTTGGGTTCCCGCCACCCATGCAGGAGACCTGGATTGAGTTCCTGGCTCCCAGCTTCAGCCCCTGCCCATGTAGGGCATCTGGGGAGTCAACCAGCCAACAGGGGAGCTCTTTCTCATAGAAAAAAAAAAAATCTGAAAATCTCAGAAAGAGTACACTGTAATAAAAGTGGCCAAAGCCACTCCACACCACAAACACGGCACAGCCAAAGCCTGCGGCAGCTCCCTCTGCCACGAATACTGGTGTGTGCTCCCGAGGTCTCCAGATGGCTATGTGAGGACTCTGCTGCTCTTTCCCGGCCCATCCTGCATCATCTCATGCTAAGGAGTCAACGTGTTAAAAGCACCCTTAGAACATGCACACTTTGCTTTCCATGAGGGCAAACTACACGACTGCTGTATCTCTCTGGTTCTGAGTCGATTGCCTGAGACCAAATGAAGCAAGTCAGCTTCATCCTCACATGCCCAGAGCTCCAGGGTCCCTACCCCTCCGCCCTGGCATCCCCTGCCTGGCTTCCCTCCCAGTGGGTCCCCAGCAGCAGGAACCCAGGTGTGCCCCTGCTTCCTTCCTGCAACCTATAAGGCAAGAGGGGGCCCCTGGGGCTGTCTGCTGGGCACAAAGGTAGTTCACCCACTACACTGGATGGAGAATCGGGTTTTGGGGGAGCCTCTCCGGCCTTGAGCCAGCCCAGAGTGGGCTGCCAAGGAGAGCCAGGCAAAGCGATGCAGAATCGGGGGATTCCAAACGCCGAAGTGGCCACCTTGGCTGGGCTCCTTGTGCTCGGATCTTGGCGGGGCCCCTCCCATTCCCCATGTGTCGCCCGTGGTTGCTGAAGGAGGCCTCGAAGCCATGTGGGCGGCCAGGAGCCGCATTTCCAAAGGAGTAGGGGCCAGATGGAAGCAATTACCGGCGGGAAAGCAGGAGGGTGGGGGCTGGGAGGGGCCGGCAGGGAAGCGGGGAAGAGGGAACGGGAGAGGAGGAAAACCCTGTCCTGCCCAGCTGAAAGCCGACCAGAGACCAGCGCAAGGCCTAGGCTCAGGGCTGGGCAGGGTGGGAACCGGGTCCAGGGCAGCACACAGAGGGCTGGGTTTGGGTTCTGCCTTCGTTATTAACACACTGTGGTCTGAGCAAGCCCCTTCACACCTCTGCATCCAGGCCCTCATTGATCACAGGATGGGGTGGGTAAGATGAGCTCAGGGGAGCACTCAAGAACTGGGCTGAAAGTGCAGGTTTTGGCAACAGGCCTAGATCCAAGCCCCCAGCCCAGTTCCCAGCTGCTTATGAGCTGTGTGACCTTGGCCAAGTAATGCAATCTTTCTTCACTTATAAATGGGCTTAATCACACAGTTGTGCGAGGCTCCCATGAAATGATGCAAGTGTCTAGCACGTTTTTTAAGGTTTATTGGATCTGGCTTTTAATAAGTGCTTGATTGATAAATGGTAACCTTTTGTGATTTGCTAAATCCCTTTTTATTATGACAGGAGTTCAGCCGAGCTACAGCAGGCAGAGGACACAGGGCAGACGGTGGGCACAAGAAGCATCGCTGCTGTCCTTGGCGCGCTCATCCTGGAGAACAGCCTAGACCCAAGGCAGAAACACAGTCATGTGCTGGCCCAGCACCCCCGACACTGATAGACTCTCCTAGCTGCTGGCCTCCAGACAGGAAGGCAAGATCTTGGAGTCTCTGACCCCCACGCATGGGACTGAAAGAAGCTGCAGGCAGGGAAAACAACTATCCCTCAACTCCAAGCGTGTCAGGGCTGCTCAGCGAGGCCTTCCGGTCCAGCCTGACCCCCACCTCATGTCAGTCCAAGCGACAACACCCTCATCCCCGCCAGCCCAAGAGCAGAACCCAAGGCTGCAGAGTCTAGAACCATCCCAGCACTTTTCCACACAGCAGCTTTGGCAGTGGGGTGGGAAGAGCTGGGGCCATGGCCTGGCTGTGGGGCTCCTGGTTGCAGGTGAAAGACCAGCCAAGATGAAAAGCAAACCCACAGCTCTGGACACCCACACCCTCCTGAAAAGCAGCAACCCAAGTTCAGTCCCCTGCTGGGCTCAAGGTCAATGGGAGGCCCCAGGGCACCTGGCTGGGGCCTGAGTGCCATGTGCTACATGTGACATTTGACCATGTCCTCTGGTCCACTTGCAGAATAAAGAGCACCATTCACACACACACACACACACACACACTCCCTGGGAACGCAGTGGGGGTTGGGGTGATCCTAAGGCCAGGTTTGGCCAGCAGCCCATCCAGGGGTGCTCAGAACATTTGCACACCTCTGGGAAGAGGTGACAAAGGAGAGAGGAGAACTCCTGACGATGGTCACCCATAAGCTGCCTGCCCGAGCCATTTCCTAAAGGAGACCCAAGGCGTCCATGCAAGGCCCTGGGAGGTGAGAAGGAAGGAGGGTCCCCAGGGCAAGGACAACAAGCAGCAGGAGCTATGCCACCAGCATCAGCTCACTAGAAGGAAATGGCTAACACATGGCCCCTTGCGACTGGGCAGGAAGGAGACGGGAGCAAGTGCTGGGGGCTCGGGGTGTCCCACCTCTCATCATTTGATTGTGCTGTTCTCTGCTGCCCAAGGTCTATCGCTGAGGGCTGGGCATGAGGATGGACTCTGGAAGCTGCCTGGATCACAATAATCTTGATCTTCAAAACCTACTGGAGGTCCAAGCTCCCCATCCAGCCCCTGCAGACTGTCCTCAGCCCAGGACCTGGGACCTGGCAGCACCGAACCGTCTCGTACTAGTGCAGGATGGTGTGTTCCCTCCCCTGCAGCCTACGAGTCCCTCGGAGAGGCATCCACAGCCTCACTGGGACAAGCTCTGGGGCGGCTGCTCTGGACGATGAAGAAGCCTAGGGTGGCCCCTGAGACACAGGCAGATGCCAGGCCCCCATGGGGTAACTCCAGGATGACCGCAGCGCAGGAGGGAACACACAGCGCAAGCAAGAGGCTCCGGCCTCTCGGCTCGTGCCTAGCGAAGGGAGGTCCTTTCCAGGACTTCTGACCATTCCAGTTCTTGGTTCTACGCAGGAAGCTGGATGGGTGAAGTCTAAAAAGGCTGGGGAGGGGGGTGGAGTAGAGGGGCCACGACAATGTTTCTGAGGAGTTGCCAGTGAGTCACAGCTTCGGGCAAGGGAGAAGGTGAGGGAAGGAAGGGGAGACAGCTCATACAGTGCCAGGGGCTTCCTGGGCCTCCACTCTGAGAGTGGTCCCTGAGCAGCAGAAGCAGGCTACTCTCCAGCTAGACGTACACTCAGCTCAAGCCCAGCAGGTGACTGACTTTTCTCCCCTCCCATTCTACCATGTTAACCAGCCTCTCTCTCTGCAGACACCTTTCAAAGCACGTAACGCATAATAACTCACTTCCAACCTGCCTTTGCAGATGCCAGGGCCTGAGCCCTGGGGGTGGGGGATACGGAAGAACTGGTCCCACACAGCTCACGAGACGGCAGCATGGGTCTGCGCCACTTGTGCCAGGCCTGTTCCCCAGGTTCCACAAGAGTAAGTCCTCCTGAACTTGGCTTCCACACTGTGCCTCCCTCCAGTGGCGGAAAGCACAGACTTCCAGAGAAGCTCGTGGGGGGTTGCCAGCCTGTGGGTGGCCATGAGGTCAGACAGGGTACAGCTGGGCCCCTGAACGCTGCCTATGTCTCCAGCCTTCTGGCAAAGGCCCACCAAGCCAGGCCCTGGGGACCCGGTCTGCAGAACAGAGGAATCAGCTACTCAGGCCTCACACGGGGCCAGATGGGGGCCTCCCCCCAAGACTAGAATGGAGGGGGCCGCTCCGGGCTGGCCAGACCTCTGTGCCAGCAGCAGCCTCAGGCAGGCTGAGCCCAGGGGGCTCTGCACCCTACTCCAGCTGACTCTTTCTCAACTCGGCTCCTCGGCACCGCCCACCACACAGGAAGCTCTCGGAGGCACCGTGGCCCTGTGCCCTCAGCGGGCAACCCTGACCTTTGGGCTCCGCTCGGCGACCTTGCGACTCTTGCACACACACAAACACACGCGCGCGCGCGCACCGCAAAGCCCGTCACCTCCAGCAAGGAGGGCCCACGTGTGCTGCACTCGGTCGGGTCAGCGACCCGGGCTCAGAGGATGCCGGCGGCGGCGGAGGACGCCTCTCCAGCCCGGGCGCACGGTGGGGACAGAAACTTTCCGGAGAGGACAGTCCTGTTCGCGCACTGCAAGGGAGCGAACAGAATCCGGCTTCCCGCGAAAACCTGGTCCAGGGAAAGCGACCCCAAGAAGCAGCTCCCCGGGGCCGGGGCCGCCCCACCCGACCCCGAGCCGTGCTGCGCCCACGTGCAGGGCCCGACACCGCCCCGAGCGGCGGCGCAAGGCTGAGGCCGGACGGCCCGGGACCCCTGGGCGCTCCCCGCCCTCCCTCGGGGCCCCGGCGCCCGGCTGCCGCGTACTCACCCCGGCGGGTGGAGCGGGGCGGGGCAGGGCAGTTCCGCGCACAGCTCCGATCCGCTAGGCGCACCGACCCGCGGCGCAGCGCTGGCGCAACGGCTCCGCTCCGCCCGGTCCCTGTCCCGGGCGCGGGGCCGGCCAGGGAGCGGGCAAATCCGCCTGCAGGGGAGGCGGGGGCCCGGGCCCGGGCCCGGGCCCGGGCTGGGGGCGGGGAAGGGGCCGGACACGCTTGCGCACACGGCCGGGGAGCCGACTCCCGGAGCGGCGGGGAGGAGGAGGAGGAGGAAGGGCGGGGTGGAGGAGGAGGAAGGGCGGGGGCGAGGCGGCGCGCGGGCGGGGCGGGCTCCCACCGCAGGCTTGGGACGGCTTGGACGCCTCCGGGGCTCGGGGTGCGAGAGGCGCTGGGCGGCGGCAGGGGAGCCGGATGGGGTGAGGACAGAGCCTGGGCAGACGCTGCCTGTGAGCCGCGACAAGATGAATGTGCCCGGTGCAGCCTCCCACACCCTCCCGGGGACAATGAGACCCAAGAAAGGGCTCCTTGCGCTCCCACGCGCCGAACCGTGTCCTTGCCTCCCTGGGGAAACCGAGGCACGGAGGTGGGAGGGCCTTGCACCGGGAGCCGTCCTGCCTCTCCCGCGTGCACGCGCTGGGCGCCTCTACCCGAGTCTGCACCCGCCGCCGCCGCCAAGCTGCTCCCTCCCCACCACTCCCTTGCAGACCGGCTCACAGAAGACCCCATCAGACCCCTGGGGCCCAGGCAGTCTCCCTGAAGGTCTGGACACGGCCAGCCCCAAGAACAGTCCAGAAGTCACCCCGCTGGAGGAGCTACAGCCCCCCACACCGGTCCCTCTCGTGGATCAGCAGTGTTCTGACCCCCTAGTGGAAACAGCAGGTGCTGTGTCAGGCTCAGTCCCCTACCTGTCCCCAGGGGGCCGAGGTTCCAGCTCCAGAGACAGGAAGGCAGGGCAGGATGTGACTAAGTGCAAAGCGTAACTGACAGTGGGTGCAAGGTGGCCGTTGGCTTCAGCTGGAGCTCAGGGCTTATCTGTGGGGAAGCTCTAACTCAGGAAGCTCCAAGGGGGAAGAGTGGGCCTCCAGTCACCCTTCCCAAAGCCCCTGGGCTGTCTGGCGTTTGACCAAGGTCTCACTTTGAATGGTGCCTTTGGCTTTATCAGTCAAGCACTCATTCAATAAATACTGCAGATCATCTTTGGGCCTCAGCCTTAGCTGAGCATAAAGAACACAATGACCAAGTCTTCGACCTGGACAAGCCTAGAGAAAGAGGGGAGGCCCTCGTTTTACCCATAGGACAGCTAGCTCTGAGAGAGTAAGGCCGTGGCCCGAGGTGATTCCCGGAGTCTGGTGGAGCTGATCCAAGAACCAGCCTGGCCACTAAACTTGACCAACTCTTTGATGAACCAGATCGTAATCTATTTTGCAGTTCTTGCAAGAACCATGTAAACCTGACTGTCATAAAGTGGAACTTAAAAACCAGCTGCTGGGGCCAGCGGGATTGTGCAGCAGGTTAAACCACCACCTGCGATGTTGGCTTCCCTTATCAGAGCGCTGGTGTGTGTCCTGGCTGCTCCCCTTCTGATCCAGCTCCCTGCTGATGTGTGTGGGAAGGCACCAGAGGATGGTCTAAGTGCTCGGGAGACCCAGATGGAGCTCCTGGCTCCTGTTTTCAGCCTGGGCCATTGCAGCCATTTGGGAGGGGAACCAGCACATGGTTTCTCTCTCTCTCTCTCTCTTATTGCTCTGCCTTTCAAATAGATAGTAAATACATAAATCTTAAAGAAAAAAAAAGAACCAGGTTTTGCTTCTGGAGACCTGAGTTCCAATTCTTTCTCGGCCACTAAATAGCTTTAGTTTTCTTACTGGGGGGGGGGGGGGGGGGGGGGGGGGAATGGAAGTAACTGGCTTATTGAAAGGGCTATTGCTGGTATGAAACCAGACAATGATGTGAAGGTGTTTGGAAAGTGTAACGTGCTGTATACAACTGTGTGCTATTATTGTGTGGTGGAACACCTCTTGTAACCTATAAACTGCACTCAGCTCTCTCTCTCTCTCTCTCTCTCTCTCTCTCTCTCTCTCACACACACACACACACACACACACACACAGCTTACCCCAGGCCCAGTTGTTCCTGGGTGCTCAGAGGCAGACTGTAATTCTGATCTCCTCCCTCTGGGCCACAGTGTGCTTACTCGTGGCCTCTCCCCTCCAGTTTCTTAAGAATACAGCCAGAAGCTTAAGTTGCTGCCCAGAACCCATCTGTGAAGCAGGAGGGGAGCAATTCTGGTGCTTTTTGATCCCAGCCTCTCCCAACTCCACGGCACCCTGCTGGCCTGTCTACAAGACATTACAAGTTGCTTGGTGAGAGGCAGTGTGATGGGGCAAGCAGGGCCTTGACTCATGGGGACTGTTGCTCTGGGAGCTTGGCTGTGCCAAGGGCGGGCCAAGACAACCTAAGCAACAACAGGTCCGAGTCTTCGTCTCCGGCTGCTTCCCAGCAAGGCCATCTCCATTCCTGTTTCCTCTCCCTCCCTGTCACCTCTCCTGTGTTTTCCCAGGGGCAGGGCAACCAGAGAGAGGGGACAGAGGAGATAGGGCAAGGGAGGGGGCAGGCGCCTCTAGACCTGGGAAGCCCTGGTCCTGTGGCCCCTCCCTGGCAGGCAGTGGGTGTGGGCAGCAGCCATGCAGCCAGCTGACAAATGTGCCACCCAGGTTTCTGGCTCCTGTACCTCACGTGTGCCGCGGTAGCATCCTGCCCACCAGGAGGAGGGAACAGAAAGATACTGTTAGAAGAGCAAGAAATAAACCCAACCCAGCATCTCAGACGCTTTTAAAAATAGCAACTCCAGGATAGTATTTCAGCTCCTATTTTATCAGATTTATATGGCTGGACCATGGAGCTGAGCTGTTCCCAGGGTTCTCAATAATGAGACATCACTGGGCTTGTGTTAGGAACTTGCCAGTAGGTCAAAGCTAAAAATGCATTCCAGAAACCTTTAGGCTGGAAGAGATCCCGAGAAGTCATTGCATGTGGTGATTGCCTTTGCTAGGGTCACGCTCGATGGACCACAGGACGCTTATGGCTTGCTATTTTGCCTCCTGTGTGTGGCCTAGAATTTCACAGCCCTTCCAATCAGCAAGTTATTTTTAGTATCGTCTTCGTCCATTCTGGCTACTATAACAAATTAGACTGGGTGACTTATAAACAATGGGAAATTATTTCCCACAGTGCTGGAGGCTGCAAGTTCAAGTTCAAGGCATCAGATTTGGTGTCTGAGGAGGATCTGGCTCCAGTTCAGAGATGGCCATCTTCTCACTGCCACCCATAGTGGAGAGGGCCAGCTGCTCTCTGGGGCTTCTTCTATGAGGCACTAATCCCATTGATGAGGACTCTGCTCTCATGGCCCAATCACACCCCCAAGGCCCCACTTCTAAGACCATCACCTGCGGGCATTAGGACCCTAATGTGAATGTCAGGGGGACACCAACATTCGGACCAATTTCTAGCCCAGCGTGCCTCTGCTTACATTCTTTTGGGTCACTCTCACAGCAGAAAGTAGCAGCTAATGTTTACTGAGTGATTATTATGTCCCACAAAATCCTCCTCTTTAATCCCCATGAAAGCCCTCTGAAGAGACACTTTTATCACTCCTGTTTTATGAGTAATTCTGTAACTCGCCCAAGATTACACCTGCTTATGAGCAGATGCTATGCCGGGGCCTTCACTCTGCTTCCCAAGCCGGGGAGGAACAGAACACTATGAAATGTCCTCTTAGCCAAGTCCCAGCCACACTGAGCCCCAGCTGGCCTCTCTAATTTCTGGGTCTTTGCTGGTGCTTGCCATTTGGCTAACAATCAGCAAGTTTTAGCCTAGAGCACAAAAAGACAAACACTGCACAATCTCACTTACAGACGAAGTCAAGCTCATAGAAGCAGAGAGTAGAATGGTTGGTGGTCACCAGGGGGTAGGGGCGGAGGGGAGATGGTTTGAGGATACAAACTATCAGTTAGACTGGAGGAGTAAGTTCAGGACAACTATTGTGCAACAGGGTGAATACAGTTAATAACAATGTATTGTATGCTTGAAAACTGCTCAAAAGACTTTAAATGTTCTCATTATTTTAAAAAGTTAAGTATTTGAAGTAACCTATGTTAGCTTGATTTAGCAATTTCACATTGCACACATATATCAAAATATCAGATTGTATACCATATATCTGTACAACTTTTAAAAGATTATTTATTTGAAAGGCAGAGTGACAGAAGGAGAGAAAGAGAAATCTTCCATCCAATGGTTCATTCCCCAAATGGCCATAATGGCCAGGGCTGGGCTTGGCCCAAGTCAGGAGCTTGGACTTCCAACCAGGACTCCTATGTGGGTGGCAGGGATCCAAATACTGGGTCATCCTCTGCTGCCTTTCCAGGTGCATCAGCAGGGAGCTGGATTGGAAGCAGGGCAGCCAGGACTCAAACTGGTGTTCCAATATGGGATGCTGGCTTCCGTTATGGGATGTGGCTGAACTCACTATGCCATGACACCGGCTCCCAACTTATACAATTTTTATTTGTCAATTAAAAAATTCATTCATAAAAAAAGTTTTAGCCTACAGGTTTTGTCCTCTGGCTTAAGCTCCTGTAGCCCTTCCCACTTTTTCAAGACACACTCATCATAATTCTGTAATTCCTCTGTAATTAATGCGTGTATCCCTCACTATATTGTAAGCTCCACATGAGCTCCATTTACACAGATTCTCTGAAAAACAAAACCTGTCCATCCTATTGAATTGAAATTGGACCACTTTGAACAGATTCAGTTCCTGCTTATTTTCTGACAATGTTTACTGTGTAACTTCACATTGATATGGACTTCAGAAGCCAATACAAATTCAGCAACAACAGAACTTAGGGTGGCCACATTTGCTTGCTAAGTAGAATATTTAAGAAGCTACCATTAACCTTCATCACCTTCTGATAAAAAGAAGGGCATTTACCATTATACCAGAGTCCTTCAGAGGATTTGTGGAATATGTAATTAAAAGATATTTAGTTTGGTGCAAAAATTGGAAATCCATGCATTTTTTTTTTCACAGCATGCATTTTTCATTAACTTTTTGAAGATTCCCCCCCCCCTTTTTTTTTATTTGACAGCTAGAGTTAGTAAGAGACAGAGAGAAAGGTCGTCCTTCCATTGGTTCATTCCCCAAATGGCCGCTATGGCCGGAGCTATGCTGATCCGAAGCCAGGAGCCAGGTGCTTCTTCCCAGTCTCCCATGCGGGTGCACGGGCCCAAGCACCTGGGCCATCCTCCATTGCCCCCCTGGGCCACAGCAGAGAGCTGGATGGGAAGAGGAGCAACAGGGACTAGAACCCAGCGCCCATATGGGATGCCGGCACCGCAGGCGGAGGATTAACCAAGTGAGCCACGGCACCGGCCCTCCTGGTTAGTTTTGAGTAAGGGATCAGGAGCATGGAGATGGGGAGAATTGAATATTCCAGTGCCCTAGGCCCTGTCTGGCCAGGGAGACAATGCAGCAGGTAGGTCTGCAGTGACTTTCTTTCCCACTGGTGTCCTTGTTTGATATATGCAAATAAACATCTTGTTTGGAAAAGTAAAAAAAAAAAAAAAAAAAAGATAACATTCAAAAGTTTGGGATACACAAGTATTGCCAGGGTAACATTTTCAAATATTACTTTGTGTGCAATTGCTCCATTTGTTTGTGTATGTTCTTTTTCTCAGCTTCATGTTGATAAATGGAGACCATTCAGCATTTTGCTGTCAGGAACCTCTAGGGCAAACAGAACGAAACCAAGGAACAACAGCAGTCATGCCTCCAACTGCTTTTCTCCTCCAACCAGGCCAGGAAGAAAGTGAGCTAAATGCTAAAACCCAGCACAGAGCTGTCCAGGATTTCCCTGGCAAGGGTGTCATCTGTCACTACTCCTGCACAGCAGGGACACAGGCAGGGGCGCGAGGACAACGTGGTTAAATAGAGCAGACACCCTGTCCAGCACAGGTCGATGGCATTCCAGCTGCCAGAGACGGGCTGGCGTTTGCCATTCGGTCAAGTGAGGGCTCAGGATATGGTGCCTCGCTGGGGAAGCCCTCAGGGAGGTAGGAATGTTGCGCTCAGAAGTAAGAGCAGGAGGCAAGCATGCGGTGGGGGGATGAGAGGGGGGGCCACCCACTCTGTATCCCCTGGCCCAGGAACCAGGAGGCCTGGGTTCACAGGCCAGGTCCATTCCCTCATTCACTTGTCCTGAACACCTCCTACGGGTCAGGTACTGCCCTGGATCCCGAGTAAATGGTGAACAAATGTGCACAGATCTGTTTCCTGGAGCTGACATTCACCCTGTAACACTGGTCAAGGCATCCGGAACCTGTTTCTTTATCTGTAAGATGGTCCCATGGAACCACCTGCTATATAAATATAGCGTTACAATATGACTCTTAATACTTCACCCTGCAGAGTAGACAGAACCTAGGTGCTGGGGATACAGCTATGGTTAACATGGCACTCCTGCCATCAAGGTAGCCAGGCAGGGAAAGCAGGTATGCCAACAGTGACCAGTAGGAGTAAGAAAACGCAAAATGCCTGGAGCGACTTGGACAGGTTCCACAGGAATCCGATAAGGTCCCCCAAGAAGACATGCAAGGCACACTTTGGGGATGTATACCAAGCACAGCAGCTGGCCCAGCATACGTCACAGTGTGGGCCTGGTAGGAGCGTAGCAGGCTGAGGTGTTGAGGGAGACCCAAGGGGGCTGGGCTGTAGGGAAGGAGTCACAGCAGGAGGAGCCCACGTGTTCTCTGGCTCTGAAGGGGACCCTGACCAGGTCTCAGGCAGGGACCTGTCTTTCCATGTGTAAGAAAAGTAAGTGAGGAGGCCTGGCGAGGAGACCTCTTGTGAGCAGTCTTTAAGGTAACTGAGGCCAGGGAAGGCACTTGAGGGGATGCTCTCTGAGAGAGGCCCCTCCTTGTGGGTGGGGGTCTCGTCTGCTGAGCAGAGCCCCTGGAGGCTCCCCATTCCACTCCCAGCCTTCTGTGGAGATGAGCTTCTGTGTGGATGAGCTCTGTCCCTTTTCTCCTTCCTCGCAGGTTTAGATCCCTACCAAGCCTCCTCCATGGGCCTGGACCTGCAGATGGTGGGTAGCAACAAAGGTGCCCCGAGCCTGTCGACTTGGACCCTCAGGCAGCAGTCTGGGGAAGGGGAGAATGTTGGGGTACAGACAAAGGCTGATTCAGCGGGAGGCCTCCCCTTGCTCCTCTGCCCTGCTGTAAGGGGAGTAGCTGACACTCAGGGAGCAGCTCTAACCCCCAAGCACTGCCAGTGTCACTGCCCCCAAGGGATCTGCTGTTAGTCCAGGAATCAGCTGGTTGATGTGTGGTGGCCGCGAGTGCATCCTGGGTAGGCCTACGTGCCTTGGTCACCACCTGAAACAGGTGCTGAGCCACAGCTCCACTCTCCCTGGGTCCTGGGACTCTGGAAGAGCTGCAGGAAGACCGGTCTCATCGGGACTCACTGGGGCTGCAGCGCGTCTGCCGTCTTCATAGGACATCTCCCACACCCCTGCTCTTCCTAGAGTTTCCTTCCTGGGGTCACAGGGCCAAGTGCAGCTCTCTGCAGTGGGCAGCGTGGGCCCGCAGCAGGTGGCTGCACTGGGACCACCACTGAGGGCCTCGCTGCACGTAAGAGCTGGGATCTGAATCCAGGCCAGGGGATGTGGAGTGAGACCACCCCCAACCCCATGTTTTCCTTCTGCTCTCACTTCCTATCTCCCAGAGAGCTGCTGCAGCGAGGCCCGGTACTCTTGGCTGTCTCCTGACAGGACAGCATATGCCAGGCTCCCTCTGGCAGCAGGATGCCATGGTCCTGTGCCGGAGAGGGTGCCGAACACGTTTAACGGTGTGCCCTCACACCCACTCCTGTGTCCTTGCTATGGCGGACAGTGGCAGGCATCACCTTCCCAGATAGGCCCCTTACGGCTCCTCCAGGGCCATCACCCTCCAACATGTCGAGGTCCCTTCCCAGCCTAAGAGTTGATGAACTCAAGCCCCTTCGGAGCTTTGCAACCGTTATCAGTTTGCCCTTGCTGATAAAACTGTTTTGCACTGGATCTTCTGGCTGCTCCATGTGAGTCTGTTTTGTCTTCCTGCCTAGATGATAAACCCAAGGCCAGGGACTCACTGACCAAACAGCAGGAGCAAAGGCAGGCATTTTGGGCTTGCATCATCTGATTCCCATTAAAACCCTCCCACATCCAGGCACAGATCCCCGCCCTCATCAGCAAGAAGTTTATCAGCAGGGAGGTGTGACCTCAGCGGGGGCAGGGAAGGGGAAGTAATGTCAGGACTCTACAAACTATTTCTGGTTTCTCCGGGGAACTCCTCAAAGGAGCACTGTGGGGGGTGGAGGGAGGCGCATGACAGCAGAATAGGAAGGAGTGGGAACAGAATGGGGAGAGACGGGCTCAGGACAAGGAGAGCAGCCAGCGGTAGGCACCTGCCCAGGGCAGCTTGGAACACCCGCAGAGGCCACTGCTGGAAACGTGCCTTCTCGGGGCCTTCCCACTGCTTCTGCCCACCTGCCAATCACCACCTGCCGCCCTGGCCACAGTGAGCCCTCACCTCACCAAATGAGCCTAGGACTTTATTCACACACAAATGAGCCTAGGACTTTATTCACACACAAGGAACAAGCCAGTACAAAACACATTTTTTTAAAAAACCCATTGGAGATAAAAATCCACCCTCCCCCTGCCCCACATCCCACATGTCTGTGCTTCTCCCCCGATGAGGGCTCAGCGCTGCTGGGCCTCCTGCAGGAGCTTGAGGAGGGGGTCGTCGGCCCTGAGGGTGAAGGTCAGTGAGCGCTGCTGATAGTGCTTGGGGTTGCACTCCAGGTTCTCGATCACCTCAGCCAGCAGGTGAGCTCGCTCCACGCCCGAGCCGGGGGCTTCGAAGCCCAGGGCAGTGAAGTGCACGTGCAGGTGGTAGTAGGAGGGTAGGTAGTGCAGGTACACACGCAGGCGGTCCCCCTTCACCTGGTAGCGCTGCAGGATGGCTGCCTGGGGAGAAGGGAGTGGCAGGAGAGGGGTCATGAGCTGCACACAAGCTGGCACCACCCCCATCTGGACTCCTCCTCCAGTCCTAATCCCCGACTGGCCTGGGACACCTGATGAAATCCCTCTGAACAGCTCTCTGCACACCGCCTGCTCCAGGAAACCAACAAAAGCAGCAGACTCTGACTTGCTCCCTATGGAAGGAGCAAAGGTCTCGCCCTGAGTGCCCCAGCCCCGGGAATCTGGGCCGGTCCAGCACCTCCCAAGGACAGGCCAGGACTCCTGAGGCTATGGGACTAGCCTGCCTCTGGATGACGTAAATCCTACAGTGGGTAGGAGAAATGCTTCATTCTCAGCACGGAACAGGGTGAGGCCTGGAAACAATGGAGGTGGGGAGACGCTGAGCTAAGAACTTGGTGAGGGAGAAAGGGTGGGGCAAGGACAGGGACAGGGGAGGGCTGCCCCACACAGACCCGGGATGTCTCAGGTGGGCTCCCCCTGCCCACATCCCTCCCCTCTTCAGGAGCCTCCAGGCTTGGAATGCAGAGGAGACTCTGGTCTCCACTGTGGAGGCCACAGGTGAAGGGAAGAGACCAGGTTCCAGTGGGCTCACCCCAAGCACCTCTGCAGCAGGATGAGAGAGGGACCAAGGCACCCAAAGGGCCTCTTGAGGTAAGCAGGGCCAACCTGCCAGAGGTGCCCGCCTGGGCTGCCAGGACAGGAGAAAGTGGGACTCTTTCTCATCTCCTCAAGAGGAAGATACCGCTCTGGCCGCTGTGGTACCCAGAAGTGGCATCAGGATAGAATGGAGTCACTCCAAAAGGCTCAAGGCAGCCAGGGAAGCAGGAGGAGAGAAGATGGGCCAGGGCCAGTGGCAGGGGAGCTGGGATCCAGGAGAAGCCCTCCCTCCAGGCCTGCACTATGCTGTGCGTGGAAAGGGGCAGGCCTCTGTCCTGGCTGGGCCTCCTGTGTCTGTCGGGTCTGGCGTGATGGCAGAACTTCACAACCCTGCCCCACGGAATGGTGGAATTTGAAGGGACCGCCTCCAGACTCAAGTGGTAAAGTGGCTTGCCCCCAGCCCTTCAGCTGGTTAGGGTCAACATGGCAGATCAGTCCACAACTCAAGATTCTAGGCACTCATCCCCTGCCCCTGGGGCTTTTTAAAAAGGTTCTTATAATCTCAATCAATTCAACATATATCCTAGATAAAAAAGTATCCCAGGGGCCAGAGCTGTGGTGTAGTAAGTTAAGCATCCGCCTGCAGCACCAGCATTCCATATGGGTGCTAGTTCAAGTCCTGGCTACTATACTTCTGATCCAGCTCCCTGCTGATGGCCTGGGAAAGCAGTGGAAGAGGGCCCAAGAGCTTGGGAGACCTGGAAGAAGCTCCTGGCTCCTGGCTTCGGATCGGCTCAGCGCTAGCCATTGCAGCCATTTGGGGAGTGAACCAGTGGATGGAAGATCTCTCTCTCTCTCTCTTTCTGTAACTCTGCCTCTCAAGTAAATAAATAAATAGAAACAAAAGTTTTAAGAGGGTCCCCATGACTGGCATCCAGAGAGAAGCCCCTTTCTAAGGTAGACTCCGGGAGGGTGAAGAGAGTAGCCCATGGAACACCCTGGAACCTCAGCACAACCCCTACGGGCTTCAACACGGCTTAGAGAAGCAGCTCACCTGGCCTTCATGGAGGATATTCCTGAGCAGTGGCAGATGCTCTGGCGTCAGGTCCCGAAGCGATTTGATGCCCCGGCGATGGCAGATGGCGATCAAGTACAGGTCATCAAGCTGCACGGAGACAGAGAGGAAACCAGAGGGCAGTGCCCGGCTCAGCAGGGTACAGGGCTGGGGAAGTTGCCAACCCTGGAATCCTTCCAGTGAGGAAGCACTGACCCCTGAGGCCCATGTGCTGGCCACAGCTGATCAAGGAGGCCACCAGCAGGACCAAGCCCCCGGCAATGCAGGTGTCCACGAGCCCAGGGAGAGCAGGACAGTCTAAGGAACAGGTCTTTGTTATTTTTCCTGCTGGGGCATCAGATGAGAGGATCTATATATTCACTCTACAGGGCTGGTGGGTGTGAGCAGGGAGCTTCGAGAAAGAGCTAAGGATAATTCCTCCTCCACAAGTTTGCAGTCTATTCCCATGCCCGTGAGAAATTCTGCTTTGGGACACAGAGTGACCCAAGTTCAGGAGGAAGAAGGAAAGGTTCTGTCTAGCTGGGGTCATCCAGGGAGGCTCCTGGAGGAGAAGGCAGAGGATCTGGGTCTTGAAAAAGAGGTAGAATTTGGGGGCCGGAGCTGTGGTGTAGTGGGTAAAGCCGCCACCTGTGGTGCTGGCATCCCATATGGGTGCTAGTTCGAGTCCTGGCTGCTCCACTTCTGATCCGGCTCTCTGCTATGTCCTGGGAAGGCAGTAGAAAATGGCCCACATCCTTGAGCCCCTGTACCCATGTAGGAAACCTGGAAGAAGCTCCTGGGTCCTGGCTTTGGATTGTGGCAGCTCTGGCCATTGAGGCTATCTGGAGAGTAAACCAGCGGATGGAAGATAGATCTCTCTTTCTCTGCCTCTCTGTAATTCTGCCTTTCAAATAAATAAATAAATCTTTAAAAAAAAAAAAAAAAGAGGTAGAGTTTGGAGAAAGGACATTTGGTAGAGGGAATAGTGAGAGCAAAGGCTCCAAGTCAAGAACGTGGAGAGTAAGCAACTGGACCTGTCTGGGGTTGGAGGCACACAAACGGGGACAGGGGATGTGAGAGATGGAAGCGGAGCCTGGGGCCAGCTCAGCGGTGAGCACCACTGGGGAGGTTAATGCTCTTCCTCTATCTCAAGGGGTCACGGGAGGTCCTTCCTGCTGTCCTTCCTGAAAACAGCCTGGCTGAAAACCTGGAGGTCACAACAATGCAAAGAGCCAGAGTCAACAGGATTCTGTGCCAGAGAGCAAGTGAACTCTTCCTCTTGCCCAGAAAACTCTCCACACCCTCCCTGCTCACCCAAACCCTGGCTCTGCCTGGTTATCACTCCCACATGCCAGGCAGGCCCCTGACTCCAGGGCTCCAAGGGACAAGGTACAGGGAGAAGCCAGCAGTGCGCAGCTCTGCAGTCTTAGCTTCTGGCTTCCTTGCGAAGACACTCGGGACCGTGAGCCACCCAACGAAATCCCCAGGAGTCTCAACTTAAAAAAACTGAATATGACTGCTGATGGCCCCCATGTCACTCTCTTCATGCTACGAGCTGTAAGAATCAGAGCTCTGTGCTACAGTGCAGCTCACGGACAACCCCAGCATTACGGCTGAGCTGCACCACAAAGTCTCCGTCTTGCTCCCACGCCCTTGAAGGCTCTCCCTTCTCAAGGCCTGTGCTCACGAGATTTACTCTTTCACCAGCACAGAGTCTAAGAAGAAGCCAGGAAAAAGAGTGCTCCAAATCTACCAGAGGTCGATTTCCAGCTGCCCTATGTGTCCCCATCACAGGACTCCCTGTTAATAGTAACATTTCTTTTAGATGAGGTCAGCTGACAATCTCAAACGTGACATTAAATCACAGTTCTGGGCTGGCACTGTGATGTCTGTCACAAGCTGCTGCCCGCAATGCCGGCTTTCCATATGGGTTCCAGTTCAAGTACTAGCTGCTTTATTTCCCATCCAGCTCTCTGCTAATGCACCTGGGAAAGCAGTGGAAGATGGCAGAAGTCCTTGGGCACCTGCACCCATGTGAGAAACCCAGATGAAGCTTCTGGCTCCTAGTTTTGGCCTGGTCCAGTCCCGGCCACTGTGGCCATTTGCGAAGCGAATCAGCAGATGGAAATCTCTGTCTCTGTAACTCTGCCTTTCAAATAAATAAAATATATCTGTAATAAATAAATAAATCATATCTCTGTTCTACTGGCATGGAATGAGACATAGCACCTATGCTGCATGTCGGCTCACGGTGATGGGTTCATGCTGTGTGAGGGAGAAACAAGAAACCATTCTTTCACACTAGACACAAGCCAAGACTTCCTGCAAGCAGCCCAGCGGCCTCATGGTCCAGAGCAATCATCTGAGAAGACCTGGACAAGGGACAGGCAAGGGTTTCTCTTAAGGGACAGGCAAGGGTCTCTCTCAGACTGGCATCCCAAAAGGGCAGACAGACACCATCAGTCTCTTTTCCCAAGACAATATAGTAAAATCAAGGTTACAGTTTCCTGACAAGGGGCAAGACAGAATGGCTAGCATAGGAGAGCCATCCCTGACCTCTGGAGTGATGCAAGGGGAGAGTACCTCATGCCAAACAGCTTCAACTCTGTGAACTAGAAGGGTATGTGTGTTGACGTACACACACACACACATGTTTATATGAGGGTACTTAACAGGTGCAAAAAATGTGAAAAGGTAAGTTTATTCTGATGCAAACATTTTAAAGCCCATGCACAGAGTTTTCATAATACACATTTCCCATGAATTTCTGAAGGCCCCTCATATATGCAATATGCAACAGTGACCCCTGGAAGGAGAGACTAAGAAATAGCAACGATGGTTGTTTCAGGGGGAGGGGCATAGAGAATGGTGGGGTGGGGGAATCACTTTCGCCGCAGATTCCCTGTACAATTTTCCCTTTCCCATGTATTAACCATGCATGTATTAAATGCATGTGTTAACCATAACAGAACAAATGAAAAAAGAACACACAGGTGATCTGTGAGGCGGAGGAACCAATGTTACCGTCCAAGGGAAGGCCCTGGATAACAGCCTGCTGAGTGGCTCAGAGTACGAGCAATGGACAGGCTCTCTAATGCAGGGCCATCGGTTTGGGGGCAGCAAGCCCATACTTCTAGAAGTGGCAGGCAGGGATTCAAGGCAGGCTAGGAAGGTTCCACAAAGCACAGGCCAGCACACCTCACAAAGACAAAGAACAGAAGCATGGGCGTGACCTGTCTCCCGCTGCACACACTGCCAGATGCTAATGGAGCTATTGAGATCCCTGCTGTCACAGATCAAGGATTCTGTCACAGATCAAGGATTCCAGGCACTGAAATACGGCACCATCAAAAGACAAGCAGGAATTAAACAAAGGTTGTTGAGCAAAGTCGCAAAGACTGACATTTAAACACCAAACACAACCCTTGAGGGCAAGTACCTTCAGCTGGGTGACTGGGAGCCCACAGCAGTTCCAGAGCCCTTCCTGTTTTAAAATGGGCCTCTGAGCAGTCCACTGGCAGGCCAGGCAGATGCTCACCAGCACCAGCTAAGAGGACCATGGGTTTCCCTCCTCAGGGCATCGAGGGCTTCGCAAAAAGTCCCTCTCTACTGTCCCTCCATGGCCCCCAGACCACAACCCCCTGCAATCTCAAGTTCTTCCGACCCCACACCCCTACATCCCAGGACCCAGGGTCTCAGGTGCAGGGCTGCCTGGGAACAGAGTGGGGTCTGCAGAGCAGTGATGGGGCCTGCTCCCAGGGCTTGATGGTGGCCTGGGTAGGGACTCCTGCTGCAGGGGAAGGAGAGGGCGGGTGCAGGTGTTCGGCCTCCCTCACCACAACACCCCACACGCGGGTCTTCTTTGATGTTAGTTGGCTGGAATAAATCATCACTCCATGCTGCAACTTCTGGAAACTCCCTTAAGCTCCCTACACCCCCTCAGGCTGGGTGTGGAACACCCAGGCGCCTCTTTCTGAGAGCAAGATAACACCCACTCCCCTGGAGCTTCTGACCGAGGCCCCTCTTCTGGGGCAGCAGCATGGTATTATTGCTAGAAAGCACAAATTCAAAACTAAGCAAACTGCAGGCGAGTTCAGTTCAGGACCTGAAGGCCTCAGAGCAGGCCTCAGCCCAGAGAGCAAGGGGGCCTCCCTGGAGAAGCGCAGAAACAGGCCCACCTAGGGTAGAGCAGTACACCTGAGCCCAGACTACTCCAACGGCGTTGCCTTCCCAGTGCCTCCCTGCTCCAATCTGAACAGAACGCTCTGCGCCATGGGGGCTGCATTTCATTTCTGACACTCTCGGGGCATAAAGGAGCCCATAGTAAGTTACAGCTTTGGGTTATAAGGGAGAGAGGAGGTGCAGAGGGTGCCTCTAAAACCCGCTCCTCAGATGGCTAGGAGAGGCAGAGGTGCTTGGAGGTCAAGCTCAGGCTGGGCGGGGGACTCCTTGGGTCAGTAGCCATGGTCCCTGCCTGCCAGTGCTTCAGAACACGGGCCTGCACAGATCTATGGGCATCGAGGGGGACAGGAACAATGCAGGCCAGGTGCTGCTGGAACCAAGGTGGAAACTCAAGCTGCCTGGCTCATTAAGGAACGGTCAAGTCGTCACAGATGCAGACAGCACCCTGTTTCACGTCTTGGGTGGGATCTGAGCCACCAAGGGCTGCGGCTGAGCCATCAGAGCACGTGCATTTGTGTATGATGGGTGCTGTCACCCAGGAGCTCAGGCTGCCTCCTGCTGGGTAATTATGATCCATTTAGACAGAGGGAGAGGGGTCCGCATGGGAAAGAAGGGCATGCTGGGGGCAGCGCACAGCGACCTGGAGCAGAGGGTGCTCCAGTGGGCCACCTTTACCTGCTGTTGGTTCCACTTGAGGTCGGGGATGAGGACAAAGCCATCTGAGGGATCTGGGTTCTCAAAAACAATCCGGTCGACTTCAGCTTTCTTGTCGAGAATGTTGTATACCCACTGGAAGGAGAGAGGAGATGGTTCACAAATCCACTCAGCACCCCTCAGGAGATGCCCCAAACTGGCCCAGGTAAGCTCTCTGGCCCTTCCAGGAAGGACAAGAGAGCCATAAATGGCCACCAAGCTCAGGGCATCGACATCAGGCAGTCCTGGTCCCAAGCATCTGCCACTGTGGGTCCAGCAGAGACTCCCCTCATTCCCACAGCTGACACTTCGCCATCAGTTGTCACGGGGCTTCTGCTGACTGGAGTGGCCCAGGCTCTGGAGGGTCTTCCTGACTGGCATGGTTTGCACACTCTGCTCTGTGCTCATGGGCCTGGTCTGCACCTACCCTCCCAGGCAGGGGACCCCTCTATGGCCCATAGGACTTGGGCAGGGTGGACACCATGGACCCTGATTGACTTTACTCAGCACTTCGGGGCAAAGATAGCTTGGGAGGTAGAGGGCAGAGAGGTTTCTTCCTGCAAAGGGAGGCAGTGACCCACTGGGGCCATGAGAGCCTTTGGGTTCTAGGAGTTAAGGTGTGCGGGCTTCTCACCCTGTAGTGAGGCAGCCATCAGCAGTCTCAGCTGACACAGGCCTTGCACCAAAAAGCAGAACTAAAAGCCAAGTGGAGATGGAGGCCTCCTGGAGACTTTTGTGGTAACAGGGCTTGTGGCCCATACACCACCCTCTGGTCAATGGCTGTCGACAGTCCTCAGAAGAGCCTTGCCCAGGTCCTGGGGGGACCCCTGAAGTTATCACTTTACAGTTAGTATCCTGGGCAGCCCTTCTGAGGGGGCCAGACTGCAGGCAGGGGAAGCTGAGCAGAGATCAGGGCTCGCAGTTCTCAAACCCAGTGCCTCTGGTGTTCTCCTTCCTACACAGCCCCTGGCAAGTGTAAATCCCTTTCAGGATGCTGACCTTTGTGCCCAACATCCCAGAGAGAAACCTGCTGAGAAATCAGAGAGGGGCGTGGCTGGGGTCTCACTGCTGACCCTTCTTCCTCCAAGCTCACTGACCAGGGAAGCAGGGCATCAGCACAACCAGACTGCCACGTCCCCCTCCTGGTCCCAAAGGCCAGGGCAGGGAGCACTGGCTTGGGGTCTGTATGTGCCCTACACTGGGCCTAGAGGCCTGGTATGTGGCACTGCGTCCTCAGCCCTCTGCTGGGACAGAGCGGAGGAAACCAAGGGCATCACCCTGGAACCTCTGGGCCTCCAGACCCCTGCACAGACCCACAGGCCAGTCATAGTGTGGCCTGCCCAGTGCCAAAGAGTCCTTCCCAAGAAGAATGTGGCTGAGCTCCTTCCATGGAGGGAGCTGGCAGACACCCACAGCTGTTTCCCCACGTAGTGTGGGGGGCAGAGCCGCACACACCTAGCAGGCTGCGACGTGTCCACAGAGGTATTTCCCGTCTGCCTGACCTAAGTAGAGCCCTCCAGGGCTGTGCTGCAGGGGGTGGGGAGGTGGAGGGAGAACAGTGGGAAGCTGACTGGCAGCCTCCCAGTAACTGAGGGGAGAGGGGGTGGTGGCGATGCCCCATGGAGACCCTGGGCACCCTGTGAGCAGTACTTCCAGCCCATCCCCTCAGGCAGGGGGCAGTGGGTGGCATCAGAGAGCAAGTGAACAGGCTCTGGAGCCCAGCGACTGCTTGCTTCTCTAAGCCTCGCCACTGATGAGCTGTCACTCTGGGTAAGCAACCGAATCCTCCCCTGCAAACTGGGGCTGATGAGACCCAAGGCGTGGGCTGTGGCGAGGCTCTTCAGTGGGACATGCGTGAGAGAGCAGCTGGCTCAGAGCCCAGCACAGGGGAGACTTCCTGCAAGTGATAAAAGTGCTCAAAAAGGGGATGACAACAGGACAGGTCACTGAAGACTCTGCAACCAACTGTGGGCAGGAAAAGAGCGGGGATGAGAGCAAAGGGCACATGAAGCTGGGGCGGGGTAACCCCAGGAAGGCATGAGGATGGAAGAGGAGCCTCACTCTGGGCCATGCGTGGCTGCAGTGAGGACCCACCTTGAAGGTAAGGACGGAAGGAAGAGCAGTTCACCTGCTCACACAACCCTAACCCTGGGAGTCTCCCAAACCCTGGGCCACGGCACACCCTGTCTCCTTGGAGAGGCCTCCTGGTGAGTGGCCAGGACCTGCACCCACAAGAAGTTTCAAGGCCAGAAGCTCAGATAAGGAAAGCAAAACAAGGGCACAAAATTCACACAAATCACAGAGGGCCAGGTAACGGAAGCACCACCACCTGGAAGCAAGCCCAGGAGACTCGCCAGCCCTGCTGACAATGGGGCAGTGGTGGGAATGCCAACAGCTTTCCAATGTACCTGGTTACACTGCAGGAGGTGACACCGGCAACTCCTCTAGACCCTGCCTCCCCCTGCATACTTCCCACGGGAACTCTCGCACCTTCTTCACTCTCCTCCTGTTCTCACTCTGCTCACCTGCCTGGCTTCTCTCTTTGGACATACTTTACCTGTCCATGTCTCCCGGGTGTCTTGGTTCTGCACACTCTCTCTGACCCCTGGAACTGCCACCTGGGCAAGGGCAACGGTAGCTACCCCTCTGAGGCCTATTCTGTGCTGGGAACACGAATGGTCAGAACAGAACACAGTATTTCTACTAACTTCCACAACAATGCAAGGAAGGAGGTGCTGTCTGTTTCATTTTCCAGACAAGGAACTTGGGCTCATTTGTTAAGACAACGTCAACTGTTCTCAGCAAAACAAGAACCGAATGCTGCCCCAATGCTGATTCCCAAAGTTAGGGCTCAAAAATGGACATTTTTAGCTGTGCGATCTCAAAGGCTTGAAACCTAGATACCCCACTTTTTTTTTTTTTTAATTTATTTGACAGGTAGAGTTAGACAGTGAGAGAGAGAGAGACAGAGAGAAAGGTCTTCCTTCCGTTGGTTCACCCCCCAAATAGCCGCCACGGCCGGAACTACATCAATCTGAAGCCAGGAGCCAGGTGCTTCTTCCTGGTCTCCCATGCGGGTGCAGGACCCAAGCACTTGGGCCATCCTCCACTGCCTTCCCGGGCCACAGCAGAGAGCTGGACTGGAAGAGGAGCAGCCGGGACTAGAACCCGGTGTCCATAAGGATGCCGGCGCCGCAGGTGGAGGATTAACCAAGTGAGCCATGGCGCCGGCCCCACATTTTTTATGGGGAAGTTGATCAGTACCTCAAATTTGAGGAACTATCGTGCCTCAGGCTGAAAGCACAGACACTGGGGCCAGGCTGCCTTGAGGCCTGTTTCCAGATCAACTGTGAAGACAAAATGAAGTGATGCACACAGAATGCTGAGAATAGTTCCTGCACCTAGCAAGTGTTCAGTAAGTTCCACACAGAACTCCCTGTCTTCTACATTATCCCATTCCTCCATGCACGCCCCCTGTCCACTTTAGCAAATGATCCTCCTATCCACCCAGTACCCACACTGGCCTGAGAAGCAGCCCACAATTTCCCTGCCTCTTCAGATCAACCCGTTTCTTTCTCTTTCTTCCCTTCTCCCTCTCTCTAGATTTATTGTTTATTTGAAAGAGTTAGAGAGAGAGGTCTTCCATGTACTGGTTCACTCCCCAGATGGCCACAATGGCCAGGGCTAGCCAAGCTGAAGCCAGGAGCCAGGAGCTTCACTGGAGTCTCCTATGTGGGTGGCAGTGTCCCAAACACTTGGGCCATCTTCTGCTGCTTTTCTTAGGCCACTAGCAGGAAGTTGGCTGGGAAGTGGAGAGCCACTCTTACCCACTATGCCACAACACCAGCTAGTCTGTAAGCACAGCCCAGCCCTGCTCCAGAGTCTTCCCCGCTGTCCCTGCCCTGGTTTAGACCCATGCTGGTTTTTACAGTCTTCCTGCTTTACTCTCATGCCACCCGCAACCGAGTCTAACCATGTTAGGTGTTTCTTTGTTTTTTTAGGTTTATTTTTATTTGAAAGGCAGAGTTCCAGAGAGGGAGAGACAGAGACAGAGAGAGACAGGTCAACATCCACCGGTTCACTCCCCAAATGGCTGCAATGGCTGGAGCTAGGCCAGGCCAAAGCCAAGAGCCAGGAGCTTCTTCTGGGTCTCCCACGCGGGTGCAGGAGCCCAAGCACTTGAGCCATCTTCTGCTGCTTTCCCAGGTGCATTCACAGGGAACTGGATTGGAAGTGGAGCAGCCAGGACTCAAACCAGCATTCTCACCAAATGCTGGTGCTGCAAGTGGTGGCTCTACCTGCTACGCCACAGCGCCAGCCCACCCATATGTGTGGGTGCCCCTGTCACACCAGATTTCTTACAGCTCCCCAAGTAACTCAGAGGATTTCAGCTCTCTGTGCTTCCAGACTTGCTCTTCCCTCTGCTTTGTCCAGCTAATAGACTTCTATTGGTACCTAAAGACCCAGGAGAGGGTCCTCTCCCTGCGAAGCCCTCACCAACTGAGCTGGTCATTCAGCTTCTGCAGCACACTTGTAGTTCCCAAAGACCACCAGAGTGCTTATGCCAGTACTGCAACTGTCCGTCTACGTTTCTCGACCCTGTCAAGACTGGGGGCATAGGGGCCGGCACCGGCACTTGGTTAATCCTCCGCCTGCGGCGCCGGCATCCCATATGGACACCGGGTTCTAGTCCTGGTTGTTTCTCTTCCAGTCCAGCTCTCTGCTGTGGCCCGGGAAGGCAGTGGAGGATGGCCCAAGTGCTTGGGCCCTTGCACCTGCACGGGAGACCAGGAGGAGACCAGGAGGAAGCACCTGGCCCCTGGCTTCGGGTCAGCGTAGTTCTGGCCGTAGCGGCCATTGTGGGGTGAACCAACGGAAGGAAGACCTTTCTCTTTGTCTCTCTCACTGTCTAACTCTATCTGTCAAATAAAAAAAAAAAGTCTGGGGGGCATCACCGAGGATGCATGACCTTGGTGACCCTCCAGAGCCCAGCACAGGGCCTACACAGGGCATGCTCAGTAAATACAAAGGCTGCTCATGTGCTTGTTAGAAACAGTCAAGAAAGAACACAAGAATGCTTCTTTCAGTAGTTGGTAGAGCAGTGGAGTTTTATTTTCCAATGGAACTGCATAAAAATTGTGTGTAGTGACATACACCCTAGCCACCCCAACTACTGTCAGGCTTCCTCTTCAACCCCAAATATGTACAACCACAACAGCACATGTGTTCCAAGACATTCCTATAAGATTCTGAACAGCAGAAGCTATCTATAAACATGGAAACGTGTGCAGGAAATTCAAAAAGTTCATGGAGGGGCTGATGTTGTGACATAGTGGGTTAAGCCTCTCCCTGCAACACCAACATCCCATATGGGCACTGGTTTGAGTCCTAGCAGCTCCCTGCTAATGTGCCTGGAAGAGCAGTGGAAGATGGCCCAAGTCCTTGGGCCCTTGTACCCAAGTAGGAGACCTAGATGAAGCTCCTGGCTTCGGCCTGGCCTAGCCCCAGCCATTGCAGCCATCTGAGGAGTGAACCAGCAGATGGAAGGTCTCTCCCTCATTCTCTAACTTTGCCTTTCAAATAAATAAAATAAGTCTTTAAAAAAAATTCATGGAAAGGGGTCGGCATTAAGTCACTACTTGGGATGCCTGAATGCCATATGAGAGAGCTTGGGTTCAAGTCCCAACTCAGCTTCTGATCCAGCCTCCTGCTAATGCACACTGGAGGCAGCAGTGATGGCTCAAGAACTTGGGTCTGTGCCACTTACATGGAGACCCAGACATAGTTGCAGGCTCCTGAACTTGGCATCATCCAGTGCCAGCTGTGGCAGGCATTTGGGGAGTGAACCAGCATATGGGAGATCTCTCTTTCTCTGTCTTTCAAATAAATAGAAAGTACATAAAACAAACAAACAAAAAAAACCTCATGGCAAATGGAATTAAAAGTTTATTTTGGTACAAAAAATTCGAGCCGGCGCCGTGGCTCAATAGGCTAATCCTCCACCTTGCGGCGCCGGCACACCGGGTTCTAGTCCCGGTTGGGGCGCCGGATTCTGTCCCGGTTGCCCCTCTTCCAGGCCAGCTCTCTGCTATGGCCAGGGAGTGCAGTGGAGGATGGCCCAGGTGCTTGGGCCCTGCACCCCATGGGAGACCAGGAAAAGCACCTGGCTCCTGGCTCCTGCCAGGATCAGCGCGGTGCGCCGGCTGCAGCGGCGGCCATTGGAGGGTGAACCAACGGCAAAAGGAAGACCTTTCTCTCTCTGTCTCTCTCTCTCTCACTGTCCACTCTGCCTGTCAAAAAAAAAAAAAAAAAAAATTCAAATCTTTGCCTAGTTTTTAAAAATACATATTTTTCCACAACCTTTTCAAAAACTCCTCATATACCTAGATTTCACAATTGTTTGGCACCAAAATAAAGTCCATCTTTTAACTCCACTTTCCACAAACTTGTTGAAATGCCCTAATATTTCTTTTCCACATAGAACACAAAACAAGTGCTAGGATTTTAAAAACAAAATAAATGAATAAAAATAAAAATTAAGCCTGCTTAAGCCAGAAGAAACTTGTGCAAATGATACACGGGATCCATGGACAACAATGGGGCTAGCCTCACCCAGAGAACAGGGCTGGCAGAACAGCGGCCTCCCGGGGAAACGGCATTCTCACGGGCCTGTCGACTTTCCTCCCCTTACTCCTCTGGGTGCAATCCACGCTGCAGCACCCACACTCAGCCCTCCCTTCTTCTGAGTCCAGGAGCAATGGCTGTGACCTCCCGGGTCAGATCACTCTCCATCAGGGAGAACAAATTCAGGGAGAGTAGGTGGCAAATGGTGCAGAGAGCAAGGGTGAGCAGTGAAGCCTTCCCTCCAGTGAGAGCCATGGAGTGGGCAAGAAAATGGCTCATCAATAAGCATCAATCATACTTAACTCTGAGTATGCACATGGGGCCAATTTCAGGCAGAGGCTCTGACTGGCACTGGGCCTAGGCTCAAGAAGATGTCAGAATCTGAGCTAAATGGCCTTGCATGTGGCCCAGTGGAAGGTGCTGCCAGTCAGTGAATGGAAGCCCTACTCCAAACAAACCCCAGGGACAGTAGGGCCCTGCCTCTTTTACTCTGACCCTGAGCTGCTGCAGGCTGCTCTGCTGTTAGTAAAACCAGGACTGGTCTTGGCCTAACCCAGCATGCGTCTTCACCTCTGGCGAGGGCTACTGCAGAATAGATGCAAATCTGATGGCCTGGACTCCTCTGAGATTCCCAGACAGCCTCAGTGCCATGCCCGTGTACCCCAGGTGCAGCCTAGGAACACAGCCAATCCCCTTCTCCATGAAACCCTCTTCAACCATTCCATAGTAAATGGCACCCAGTCCAGCCTAGGACTGTCCATGGCTCTGACCCTGTGCCTTTTTCTCATGCATTCATACTCTCACCTGTTGTAGAACTCTTTAGATCCCTGTACTGATTCTGAACAGAGGCAGCTCCACTGTGCCCCGCTGCCTGGCACAGTGCCTGGCCTGATAAGACCCCAGCAGATGCTTGCAGGAAAAGAAACCGGCCATGGGAACAGCACTTTGCATGTGAGACATGACAGCTAGTCACCTGGATGCTGAGGCTCTGGGACTCCAGGTAGGGTAAGGTAACATTCTTGTAGTCATCGCCTGTCTCCCGGACCAGGTGCAAGTCCTGGCGCAGGTACTTCTGCAGGTGTTTCTCTGTGGCAGGGTAGACCACGGTCGTCTTTATGTCTGCAATGACAACACAGCCCATGACTGGGAAAGCAGACCCCATATGCCATGCAGTCTGTTACACTCCCTTTCAACTCTCACCCAGGCTTTGATCCTTGACAAGGGGAGTCAATGGCCAAAAGGATCTCAGCACTGAGAATCCACTCCCATGAGGATCTCATGCCATGAAACTCGTGAGCTGAGCCACACACATGACCTGGAATGCAAGGCTTTCAAGGAAGGGTCACAGGCCCCTTATCACTCTAACCCTCGCCCTTCCTCCTTCTTCCATCTTCCAGACACAGGAAGGAAGGTCCTTAACTCTTCTCATGTCCCACACATCTAGGAATGTGGCTTTCTGAACTCAAAGGTGAAAATGTGGTTTGAAACACAGGAGTCCTCCCGCAAAGAGGGGCAGCACAGCATAGGGGTTCAAGCCATGGATTCTGGGGCCACAGTGTTTTGAGTTCAAGACCTGGCTCCGCTCCCTCCTCTCCTCAAGTTGGGACCATGGCCCTGACTGAGAGCTCGGTCCAGTTATTTAACCTCTCTATGCCCCGACTTCCTCATTGCTAAACGAGCATAGTCACAACTCTTATGTCAGAGGATTAAGTGAGGTAATTACCTGTGAAGCACTGGGAACAATGTCTGGCACACAGTAAACACTACCTAAGTGCTGGAGAGTTTCATCCAAGGTTTCTCAACCTCTGCACCACTGCCACCGTGGCCTGGGTCACTCTGTGCTACAGAGGCTGCCCTGCATGCAGGATGCTGAACAGCAACACCTTCCCCAGAGCTCTGACAATCAAACATACTTCCAGACATTGCCAAATGTCCACTGTGCGACAAAACTGTCCCTGGCTGGGAATCACTATTTTTGTTTGTTTGTTTGTTTAAGATTTATTTATTTGAAAGACAAATTTACAGAAAGGTATAGGCAGAGAGAAGGAAGAGATATATATAGAGAGAGATCTTTCATCTGCTGGTTCACTCCTCAAATGGCTACAATGGCAAGAGCTGGGCTGATCCGAAGCCAGGAGCCAGGAGCCAGGAGCTTCTTCCAGGTCTCCCACACGGGTACAGGGACCCAAACACAAGGGCCATCATCCATTGCCTTCCCAGGCCATAGTAGAGAGCTGGATCAGAAGTGGAGCAGCCAAGACTTGAACCAGCACCCATATGGGATGCCGGCACTGCAGGTGACAGTTTTTACCTGCTACACCACAGCGCTGGCCCCAGGAATCACAGTTTTAATTAGAAGGAATCTTTATGGTTTTCCTAAACAGATTCTGTGCTAGTGTCCTGGTCCAACAACACCTGGTTTGGGTTAAGTCTTTCCCCTATTTTAAATAACATCTGGTACATTACTCTAACATTTATACAGGGCTTCAACACGGATCTTATGGCAGGAAAGGAAAATGGTGCTTCAAAGTCAGTGGGGATGTTTCTCCAAAGACCCACTCCCCCTGGGCAGCCTCCCCGGGACTCAGATCTGCTCTTCCAAGGAAATCCACAAAGGTAGAAGCCTGGAAGCTGTTTCACAGTCCAGGAAATTCTCATATTCACCTACACAGCCCAAGATCTGGCAAAGAACCCCCCCACCTACACTTTCAGATTTAGTCTGAGGATGTAGATGATTTAATCCCACTTTCTAGCTAAGTGGAAAGGGTTGATGACAAAGATTGAAAGACTTATCCGGCCCTATGCTGTGGGGTATGGCAGAGGCAAGACCAGAGGCCAGGCTTTCTTACCCTACAGTGGACACTCCTTCACCTCCGCGGCCTGGTGGGGATGCACCAAGGTGACACAGCAAGCACAGGACTCCTGGTGAGCGGCCGGCGTCCCAGCCCAACATGCTCCAGGGGCAAGGCAGCATGGTGGGAAAACACAGGCTGTGGACCCATGCTGGCCATGACCTCCCTCACTGCCCTGTGACTGCCTCTCAGGGTCTGAGTTTCCTCACTGGTTAAAGGGTAGTCATACAGTCTGCCTCAGCGAGTTAACATTAAACAAAACATGTTATCTGAATCAGCAGAGGTGTTAAATAAACATCGCACCAAGCTCTAGGAATCCCTGCCTCCATCCCCACAAAAGACACAATGGCCAGCTCACAACCCTGCAGGCAGCAGCTTCTTACTCTTCATTGCTTCCTAACAGGCCAGGTAGAGGCCTAGCACAGCAAGACCCCAAGAAGGAGTAGACTGCCTGAAATAGATAGAGTGAGGCTCCTGCAGTGGACGTGGGGAAAATCCCATGCTACCTGCAGAGGAGCTTGGAGATGAGAAAAGGTAGCTTGGAGCCAATCAGTCTGGGTCTGATCTCTGCCACACACTTAGAAGCTGTGTAAATCTGGGCAAGTGACTGACTCTGCTACTGTTCTCTTCACCTATGCACCTGGGAGAAATAATAACAGCACCTATCCTGCTGTCGGTTGGTTGGAGATGGAAAGCGTTCAGAGAAGTGCCGCACAAAAAGCAGAGCAACTCAGCAAAAGCTATTACTCTCACTGTTGCTTTAGTTGCCTGGCTTGGGCTGCAGAGGAAGCTGAGGCAGTGGACTCCCCCGGAGTGGGGAGATGGCTGGGAACAACTGCAGAATCACATCAGAGAATAGTCTAACTGTTGGCAGCGGACACACAACCCTGGGGCACTGCTGGGGGCTCCTGGCTATTCCAGATCAGAAAGCCATGGGACCAGTGTGCAAGCTCTCATGTGTCTGCCTGGGCTTGTCCAAAGACCTGCCCCAGCCACCCAGGGTGTCGGGGAAACAGGCACCTCTCCAAGCCAGCCCCCGCTCCTTGTACCCTTGGCAGCCAGCAGAAAATCCAGAAGTCTGATGCGCCAATTGCTCACTTCCTGCCATCCTTCCTCCTTCCCTAAGACACCCCTGCCTGCTCCTAGGTACCGCACGGCACACTCCGAGGGCCCTCCTCAGAGCCCACCCCTCCTCAGGGCTCAGTTTCTCTCAGACCTCCAGGGAAGCCCTGGCACAGTGGTGTCAGGGCCAGAGGCTGCCCTTTCAAACCATTGAATGCTCCGCCAGTTTCCTGCTGTGGTCTGCAAGGACCCTCGGTCACCTTGCCCTGCCTTCTCTCCAACTGCGTTCAGTGCCCCCACTTCCCCTTGATGCCTTACTGCAGCTGTGCTGACTCCGCATGGTTTCACTACCTCACACCCGGGACCTGCCCACTCTGGGCCCTGTTGGAGTGGCTCCCACCGCCTAGCAGTCTGTCCCACTGGGGAAAACACGCCCCTTGCTTGCCTCCCCCAGTTCTCTAAGGTCAGCAGCCCTGGCTAAAACAGCATCCTAACCTCATGCACTTGATCTCCTCCCTGCTTTTTCTTCCCTTACCTGAGAGTGGAGTACAGGTTTAGTGCCTAACCACCCCTCCCCATTAGAGTCACCTCCAGGGAGACAGGCATTCGGTTTTTTAATCATTTATCCCAACACCTGGAATAGCACGTGGCATAGAGTAAGTACTCGGCAAACATTCACTGAACACATGAATCAATGGATCTTTTCAGACTTTAAACCTAGAACATTTTTGTCCCAAGCGGAATAAAACCCCTTGATAAAAATCAATAATTTCCCAACACTGAATTTACCATTGGCCGCTCCCAAATAAACCCTGGTGTTTTCCTTAATGCCCATCAAGACGCTGAGCTGTGGCTAATCTTTAGAAGGAGCTTGGTCAAGAGTCCCTGACTGACCAACTCAAACCATCACTTTAAAATATGCTCAGGGATGGGACACATACACAGTCCCAACACTCCCTCTCCCCAGATTGCTTATTAACTACAAAGGGCAAACAAGTCGTACCTCCAAGTGAGAGGTGGTGACAACACTCGGAACAGGACAAACCGACATGAACTGTCTCCTGATAGGATGTGATATTCTGGTTAAAAGTGTATAACCTGAACCCAATCATAAGAAAATAACACCAAACCAAAATCCAGGAGTACTCTATAAAACAAGTGGCTTTGTAACTTTTCAAAAGTGTCAAAGGAGCAGGATTTTGGCACGGTGGCTAAGACGGGGGCTGGGACACCACATAGAATATGGGAGTGCCTGGGTTCAAGTCCCAGCTCTGTTCCGGATTCCACCTTCCTGCTAATGAGCATCCTGGAAGGCAGCATGGGATGGCTCAAAGGACTTGGGTAGCTGCCATCTAAGTGGGAGACTTGGACTGAGTTCCAGGTTCCTGGTTCTGGCCTGGACCAGCTGCAGACACTGCCAGTGTTTGGGGAGTGAGATGGTGATCTCTCTTTCTTGATCTGTCCCTCAAATAAATAAACAATTCTTTTAAAGGGTCAAGATTAGGAAAGACAAAGAAAGGCTGAGGAATTACTCAGATCAAAGGGGACTAAGGAAACGTGACTAATGGGATTGGAGTAGATCCTGGATCCGGGAGGAGTCCTGCTTTACACAGTACTGAAACAATCGGCACTGTTTAATAATGGATGCTATGTTGCCTAACAGTTTTGTGTAAATGTGCTCTCCTGAAGTCTGAAATTAATCACTGTATCCTTCTTTTCCCTAACCCCAGCCATAACGATTATTCTTCTATGTGTATGTGGAGAGAGAAAAAACAAATGTGGCCAAATGTTAACAATAGGTCAAACAGGACTGGTGTGAGGGAGTGCTTTGTACTACTCTCACAACTTTCCTGTAAGGTTGACTTTTTTCTTCCTTTTTATTTATTTATTTATTTTTTTAAGAAAAAGTTACAAAACCAAGTTGATACCTCGTGGAACCTCAGCTTGAATTGCTAATGGATGCACGAGGCACTGTTCTAGACCCAAAATATATATTAAGTTATTTATGCCTCAGGACCAAGTTGGGGTTTTATCACAATCCCATCTTACACACAAGGAGGCCAAGGACCCATGGTACTGTGTGGTGAAGCAACATCCTGCTCCCTTGGCACCAGCACAGGGGCAGCCAGTGTGCCTCCACAGACCAGCAGATGAGGCTGACAACCTGCTCAGGTTCTTTCTCTGCCAAGGACAAGCAACGCCTGCAACTCCTCTCCCCAGAAGCTTT